TGATAAAAAAGGTAACTGCTCTTTCCACATCCCACAAACACGTGGTAAAAATTTGGAGATTCAGACTAAACATGAAATAACAGATGAGCCTGTGATAGAGGGATTTTTTTCTAACCGCTTTGTTCTTGATTTCAGATCTCATCATAAACATAACCAGAAATGCTACCTTGCTCGGAATGATGCTCTCCTTTTTGATCGGCATACTGTTTTCAGCTGTTGTTTTCTATTTTGTGAGCCTGTACTGCAGGTGCGTCGCAGTTCAAAACTTCACCGTTCATTTGTTTAATTTTGCAGAGAAATTCAGTGATAGAAAATGTTATATCTGTTGAGTTGTGATATTGACATAATTCAAATTCAATGTATATTAATCCTTTAAAGCTGTTAAAACCTTTCACTGCAGGAAGAAGCAGAAGGTTTGTGGAGAGCCTGCTGAGACCATGGAGATGGTAAATCATTTACTCATAATTGTATGGATATATAACAGACCTGATCAGACAGTCATGTGCTTTTGATGCCATCTTGTGGTTATTCTAGATAAACACAGGGCAACCAGCAGATGCACCAACATTTGATCCAGAAATGTTCCGGTTTATTTGTGCTGATAATCAAAATGTAATTTGTTTGCTTCACCTGACAGATTCATAATGGTCAATCGGAATATGCACAGGTCCAAGCCCAAGGGACAGCAGAGGAGGCCGAAGCTGCAACAGAGGACGAACCTGATGTCCACTACTCTGATATTGATTTGTTGGAGTTGAAAACAGGAAGATCAACAACAGCAGAGCAGAGAAAAGATGAACCTGATGTCCACTACTCTGATATTGATTTGTTGGAGTTGAAAACAGGAAGATCAACAACAGCAGAGCAGAGAAAAGACAGTTTGTGTCCAGACTATGCTGAAATTAAGAAAGACAAAAAACGAAGGTTAAGGGTAGACATAAAAAGTGAAGAAGAAGAAGAAGAAGAAGAAGAAGAAGAGATACAAAACTGCATAGGACAAGAAAGGGAAAGTGAGGATGAGGATGTGTACTCCAGTGTGACAGAAGCAATGGTTGAAATATATTGATCGTGCTATTCATAAGCTCAAAGGATAATTCGTTTACGCTGTAAAATCAGATGTTTGTTTATTAATGTAAAATGTCTCTTTGTAAAGTTTCCTCTTCGACATCAATTCTGTAAAAAATGCTCTGTCATAAATCTATTTTAAATGTAGAGATCTAGGTAGAAAAGGCTGTTACAATTGTTAAAAGCTTTGTTTTTAAGCTGAAACGCTTCCGTCTTTATTTTTTGTTCATTCCACACTGATTCACCAAACAGAGAATGTTCTGACTGCTGATCACTGCAGGTGAAGGACAAACCACTGATGAGTAACCCATGAGACCCCTTCACCTTTAAACAATGAGAATGTAGATGATGAGCTAGTTAGGCCCAACCACTATCCCAACCTGTGAATGCATTGTCTTGCCTGGGTTGAAAATCTTCACGTGTGAACCCCAAAGAAGTTAATGCATGTGACAAAAACTGCACACAAATTAAATCAAAATAAGTAGAAAGCTACACGTTGATTTGAATAGAGCCTCTAAAATTTATAGAAGTTTCCTGACAATTGCTGAATTGATTGATAATGATTGATATTGTGACAGCAAAACAAGCAAAACAATCCCAAAGTTTTTTTTTTTTTTGCTGTCCATTAAATGGAGAAGTCACTTTGTTAAGGGGTTCGAGGTAAAAATAGAATCTGAGACTTCGAGCAGGTGGCAGATGTTTTGCATGGTGGGTTCCTCTTAAGAGAGGAGAGTGAAACTCTGTGTGAAGCACAGTGTGTGTTCAAAGGGTTCTTACAGGCAGCAGTGCATGTATTGTAACTTTGTTCCTCTTCATTGGTAACACCCCAAAACTGTACAAGAGCTGCTGTTGTAGATAAAAAAAAAATCTGGTTCGGTTTTATGTGTCAAAGCAGACAGAGAAATGTGCAGAAACAAAAATGATTTTCTGTCAGAATAGGGTAAATAGTATGTCTAAACTCCTCTATGGGTATATTCTAACAACCCCTATTTATATTCATCAAGGGCTAAATGTTTATCTTATTTCATTTGTCACACTGTGCAGGTATGGGGGGGTGTTTTGTTGTTCAGAACTCAATTTATTACAAATTCCAAAGACATTAGAAACTGTATTATACAATTGCATGTTGAAAACGGATTGTAATAGTTTTTTAGGTTCTTTAGTGAATATACTTTAAGTTAACATTTAAGTTTATGATTTGATGATGTATGTTGTTTTCCAGAACTTTTCCCAGAATAATTTGGCTATTATTGAGGGTTTGCCTGATATTGTTTGCTTTGTATTATAGAAAAAAGGTCAGCTGCTGCAGCTTTATTATAAATCCAGTTGCATGCATATGTTCCATGTGTGGTGCAGTTGTTATTGTCTGCATTCAATCAGAGTAACATGTGGAAGTTGCTGGCTTTATGTACACGGTCGGCTTGAATGCATAATCTGATATTGGATTAAGGTTGTGCTAACAGGATTAGAATGTTCCACTAGCTGAACAAACTCTTTAAATAGAGCTACCAGATGGTTAGGAGCTGCGGAGGGACCAGTATTTGACCAACCAGAGGGCTTTTTCTGCTGTAGACACACAGGTGAGTTGGTGCAGCTTTGAATAGAAACGTAAATGTGTTTTCTTTTTTTATGTTTCATTGTGGCATTATTACATATTTGAATATTTTGCAAGATAGTGGGAAAGAGTTGATTCCAACTTATCAAACTCTCCATTTGAAAAATGATTGATTACCTTTGAAACACTTCAATAACAGAAAACATGCTGATTTTACTTCAGTTCAACATTAAATCCTGTTATTACACCAATCCATACCTTCACTTTCTATGGTTACTCCAGCTCAGGGCTGTGGGGGGGCTGGAGCACATCTCAGCTGTCGATGGATGAGAGGTGGTGTTCACCCTTGAGAAGTCGCCAGTGGTTAACATTTATGTGACTAGTCAACAGCTTCTCAGATTACAGCAAAATAATCTGTTAAATTGTTTATTTTGCTCCAAAACTTAATGATACTTAATGCAGCTTTGGAGGTGGGATGTGTAAGAGAAGGTATTCCTTTCAGTTATGACAAATAAAGTTAATGATGCTAGTAAAAACGTCAGTTATTTCAAGGGTAATTATTTACAAAGGCCACAAAGTTTTAAGAAGTTAGTGGAACCAAGCACGTTTGTTATCATTTTGAAATGGAGGTTATTTACTCAATTTACTGAACACCATTAGAAGTTGGACGTTGGAGATCTTTGGTTAAAAAACTCCTGTTATCAGGTTTATAAGCAACTGGTGAATATTATAGAAAATTATAATTTTTTCCTTTAGATTTAATACATTTCATGATATAAATGAAAAATTTTAAGTCAGTTAATGGTATCTTTTAAAGAAATGTCTAACCTTAACAGGTAGAAAAAAATGTCAGAAATAATCTCCATACATGTTTGTGCAGTTCTTGGGCAATAAAGTGATCAAATTTCACTCCATTGTACATCAGGTTTAAGTATGTGGCTGAAGTAACCCGATGTTTTCATGTTCATTCTTGACTATTGTGTGACCTCTGTGCTTCTGTCCATAGGAATGGCTGATGTCTTCAGAGGTCTGAACCTCCTTGAGACCCTCAAAGAGTCCATAGAGAACAACAAGTTATCAGACGTGAGAGAGGCAGTGGAAGATCTCCTCATCAGTAGGATTAATCTAGCGGTGGTGGGCGACCGAGGGGATGAAAAAGCCTCCTTCATGAATGCCCTCCGTGGCCTGGGTCCTGACGATGAGGGCGCAGCTCCTTCTCTGCCCCCCGTTGCCCCTGAAGAAGTGGCTGGCTACCCTAATCCAAAACACCCGGATTTCCGCCTTTGGGATCTGCCACCTGTCCCTACCACATCTCCATTTGAACCAGAGGGCTACATGAATAAGTTCAAGTTCCCTCGCTACAACGCTGTCTTTATGACGTTTACACAGACACTCCAACCCAACAGTGTAGAGGTGTTCTTGGAGGCTCTTTCACTACAGCGACAAACTGTCTACTTCCTCCTCCTAGCTTCTAGAACTGACACAAACGAAAGCCTGGAAGTAAAGAAGAAAGCTTGTCTGGAAGTACTGAAATCACAGGGCGTGAAACAGCCCAAAGTCTACCTCACCAGGCCTTCGGCACTGGAGAAGCTCGACTTCCCTACCCTCTTAGCGGACATTGGGGGAGACCTTCCTGAGATCCGAGCTCAGGCTCTTCTGTTGGCTCTCCCGACGCTCACGTCCACCCTAGTCAACCAGAAAAAGGATGCCTTTAAAGCACTTATTTGGGCAGCGGCCTCACTATCTGGCGGGGTGTCGACTATCCCCGTTCCCCTCGTGGCATCCATGGTGGACTCAAGCATAGCTGTTCGAATCCTGACAAAAGCGCAGCTGTCCCTGTGCCTGGACGATGACTCTGTTGAGCGGCTGGCCCGGCAGCGAGGAGGGGATCCGGCCAGACTTAAGGAGCTGCGGACCTGTGTGCTGTCAGTGGAGGTCACTAAAGGGGAGGTGAAAAAACGGCTGGCAGCAGCAGAGAAGGACTTGGCCACAACTTCGTCAAAGTTGCTGGAAATGGCCATGCCAAGACACGCCCGCTCAGCCAGCCGCTCCTTCGCCGCGATGCTGCAAGCCTTAAATGGTGCTGTTGATGAAATGGCAGCTGATGCCGATAAGATCGTTACATCCGCTCTCGCTCTAAAGGGGATATAAAGACGAAAGACTTCCCTGTTTTCAGATGTCCTCAGATCAGTTTAAATTTGAAAATTTGAAAGTGTGATAAACACATTAGACGATTATTTTTTTTACAGCTAGTGTGCGATTAAACCTGTAAATATCGTTGTGTCTGTGCATGATCAAGTAAAACAGTGTTACAGGCTTCTGCGTCCCTGTGTAAACTTTCTCACAGCCATACTCTGATCAACAGCTTTCAGTACCATCAAAGCTTTTAATAAAAGGAAGTGAGAGGAAACTCAACTGCATGAGGCAAGCTGAAAGAAAAAAAAACTTCACTCTCTTTACCAGCACAGCCAAAAAAGATCTGTGGTTGCTGGGTTGCATGATTGAGAATGCAAATCCTGTATGATTTTGGTTCAAATCTAAAAACGTCCTTTTTTTCAAAACCTTTTTTCGAGTCTGTAGGGGAAAGTTTGCTGTAAACTCTGTTATAAGTGGCTCCTCTGAGGTAAGATTAAGCTTTCTTTTGATTCTATCGTGTAAAACTGAACATGTTACCGCTGGTTGTAGATGATCGTCCTTATAAGAGCACTTAAATGTTTTCAATTCAGTTCTTGTTTGTGGAAACACCTTTTGACAAAATGGGAAATGCTTGAAATGACATTTGATTTGGATAAAGCTGCCATTTGGAATAAATCATATTATTTACAGATTGGTGGTATGTTAAGAGCTGAAAAGCAGATACAGACTTTGACATGGCTTTTAAAAACTATTTTTTTTCTAGCAACGTCACATATCAACTTTATCAGGATGAACGATCAGCTCAGTGAAATATATTGTTCATATGACCCTGCAGTCTAATTTAACAAAAATAACTACATGCTCTGAACATGGAGGAGGGCCGTCTGTTAAAAACTTGGCACGGGTTCACGTTGAGAGGTCTTTTTCTTTTGTTTTCAGGGCTTTGGGACTTTTCCAAGCAAATGCTACAACTGTCTCAAAACAAGCAAGATCAGGCTCTCTTATAATATTGAGAAAAAGGTATAAAGAGGAAGAAGACATTTTTAAATCGTGGCACATTTGAAGTGGAATCTCCTTGACAACACACAAACGTGAAAATGAGCAGAGACACAATGTGGTTGTTGATTCTGATCCAAATCCAATGTAGGTATTTCTTTTGTCAGCAGTAATTTAAGTGTGGGTTTAAAATTTCATATTTAACTTTTCCATTTGTTTACTCGCCCCAAAAGATGTTTCTTATGGAAATGGGAAGCCATTTGCTCTGGAGCCAACTGACTTGAAAGCCAATGAAGGATCCTGTGTAGAACTCAAGTGTATACCTACAAATAGTATGGATACTCAAAATGCATTGTGGTATTGGATGAAGGATGCAAAATGGATTGAGGGAAATGGATATGATGGATCCACTGTTATTTACAGCTCAGATGAGCAGCGAAAGACTGTCAGTCCACTCTTCAAAAACAGAGTGTGGCTTGTTGGCCATTCACCAGAAAGCGTGAACTCTAATTCATACCGAGGAAAAAAGGAGATTTGCCATATTTTGATCTGTGATCTGAAAAAAAATGACACCGGAAACTATTCGTTCAGATTTGAAAGCCCAAACGACAAATGGCTGACAAAACCAGAAGCAAAACTAACAATTATTGGTGAGTACAAAGATCAGAAAACTGAAATACACACTAAGAAATGACAAAGGTTAAAAAGCTGCTGTTTTTATGGTAAAACAAAAAAAGAAAATAAAGGTGGGAAAATGGAATAGCTGTGGCATTATTGCAATGAATTTCCAAATGAATTATTGAATAATTCTTTAGGGAAGGTAAATTATTCTAATTTGATTTCTAAGATAATATATAATAGTTAGTTTGAGCTTAATTTTTATTATTACGTGAGAACATACTTTATAGTAAAATAATCTCTAAAAGAGAATAAAAAAGTTACCACTCAGACTAATCTTCTGGTTTTCAATAAATCTTTAAATTCAAATTCTTTTAATTTAATAGAAACTTTCCTCTTGCAGAAAATTTGCCAACATCAAGTGGTGAAAATTTATGCCTAAGTTGATTTTATGATCATTTAGAAAATATGCTGTTCTCTGCCCAGTCTCAGAGTGAACATTGATTAATCTTTATATTTCTCACTCACAGAGTTTATAAACAGAAATTAAAATCAATAATGGTCCCCGATCTTATGATATTAATTTGATATCTTTATATTTTCAGAAAATAAATGCCTGATCACCTTTATTGGGCCACAAGTTGTGAAGGAGGATGAAACCATAACACTTAAGTGTTCCACGTTAAGTTCGTGCTCTTTATGTCCGAATATCAACATTTTGGGGCAAAAGGCTTCTGTTCAGTCCCCTCCGCCTGTTTGTGAGACAAATGGGACATCTAAATTCTTCACTTATCCATTTACGGCCAGCTGGCAGCACGATGGAGCTGTGTTTTCATGCCAAACACCAGATAACACAGATAAATATTTGAGCCGGCACATCAAGTTGACTGTAAAATGTAAGTTAATCCATTTATTTCATGTTGTGTCTGCCGCTGAGTGATCATAGCTAACACTGATATGAACAATCCTTTGATCCACATGTTAGGATCAAGTTTTTGATTTGATTTAATTCATCTTATGTGTGCTTTCTATGCTTACTGCTGACATGTCTGTCACAGACCTGAATATTTATCTGTAAAAAACTCACCCACTTGAAAGAGGTTATCTGCTTAGGGGTCTTGAATTTACAGATTTTTACCAAGTCTTCGGTTGAAGTACAAACAATTCCAGGGTCAGGTTTTCATGTTTAACTTGTGTTTGCAATTTCTCTCCAATTATGCTGTTTTTCTTTCTACATAGATGCCCCTAAAGACGTTGTGGCTGAGAAAAGCTCTTATGTTGTTAAGGAGAGAAGCTCTGTGACCCTTACTTGCTCTGCCAAAGGAAATCCCAAAGTTACCTTTAGCTGGTTCAAAACAGGACAAGCAGGGATACTTTACACGGGACCTGAGTGGAAAATCACATATATAAAGGAATCACACAGTGGTTCATACTACTGTTCAGCAGTGAATGAACTTGGAATTAAAAATTCTAGCCAAATAGAGGTTAATGTGTTATGTGAGTACTTATTTATTCACAGCAATAATCTATGAAATCATCACTAATATTAACACACAGAGGTTTCTCTTTATATGTAATGCTATTGAAGCACATAAGCTTGTGTTTTAATGTTGTTGAATTATCTGTTCATAAAAAGAATTTTATTTTGGGGTTTGGTTTTTTAAAATTTGGAATACTTTGAGGGTCGATAAAACTATTTTTTCCCTGCAGATAAACCAGAAGTTGAAGTGAAGGTAAAGCAGCCATATGGAGGAGGCCAAATGATTAAAGAAGGAGACAATGTTATTCTTGTATGTAATGTAAGGAGAAGCAACCCACAACCAAATGGTTTCACTTGGCAAAAAGATCAAAATAATATTCATTACAGCCAGGAGTATAATTTGATCAGTATCAAACCGCAGGACAGTGGCCGCTACACATGCAAAGCTAAGAACACCATAGCTGAGGGACAATCAACATCCTATGATCTAAAGGTTTATTGTAAGTTTCCCAACATTTTGTGCTGCTTAAATCAATTATTGTCACAGAAAAAATCAATAAATGTGTCAGAACTGATACTGTCTCATTTAAAGAGACTTAAACGAACAACTTTTTTTTCTATTCCAGACAAACCAAGGAGCATAATATCCATTAGGGGTGCTCATAATAACCAAGTGAAAGTCGATGACTCCGTCACACTTACCTGTGACACGCAGGCATATCCAGATCCATGGCTCTTTTGGTTCATGTTCAAACGATCTGACAGCTCACTTTGGACACCCTTAACAACAAGCAGTAGGACTCTGAAGTTGGAGCCAGTTCAGAGAGTAGATGAAGGCTGTTACATATGTAACGCAACTAACAGTATTGGCCCGGGGGATAATAGTGAGCCAGTGTGCATAAATGTCCTGTGTAAGTAACTGGTACACATCTACAAATGAACATATCTGGTTTGTTAGCTTCTTTGAGAATGGATCAGTCCTGATGAAATATCACATTATTGCTTTCTCCTCACAGTCGCTCCCACCAAGGTAGGAATCTCAATGGCTGCCACAGTCAGAGAGGACCAGCTGGTCACAGTAAACTGTACAGCTGAAAGTTTCCCACCGTCAGAAATTACACTGACCGCACCAGAGTCAGCTTCTTGGTATCCAAAGTGGGGGGCACATGTCACGAACCAAGTCATTTTCATCTTTAATGCAACTTCAGCCCACGCAGGCTCCTACACCTGCACAGCCTCAAACAGCGAAGGAAAACAACAAAGCCAAGAGAGGAAATTGGTGGTTGAATGTGAGTGAAGTTTTTTTTTTATTATTATTAATTTGCTGCTCGCGAAACCGAAACTTTGCAATCCAATTTTCACTGACCTCATTTGACACTTACATTTTGATTTAACTATTCAAAATGTATTCATACATAAATACATAAATACACAAAAAATCCAGAGCTGATAAAAATTCACTGATCTAATCAGTGATCTTTTAAAAAAAAAACATATAATCACTTATGTTGTCTTATATATCTTATATATTTATATATATATTTGAGGAAGTGTTTTTCTCTGAAATGCCATGTCACTCCAGTTCACTTCAACATTTTTTTTTGTGCAGTTTATAGCGAGTACCACTAGATACCACTGTATCCTATACTTTTGCAACTGAAATCAGAATCATGCACCTTTCCCATTCCGTCCTCTTATAATTCTTTGATTCAAGCCATTTTTTCCTGTCTAATTCCATAAGATGATATTACTGTCATGTAGCTTTGTTATTGTTTTGCCTCGTTTTTGTAAATGTGATTTTTCACTCCTTTCAAAAATTTGCGCAGAGCTTAGATTCGATGAATCAGAAGAATCTAATGACCAGTAAAGCAAAGTCACTCATTCAGTCTTTTTTTCTTTATTTTGGAAATCCAGATTCTCCCAAAGATGTGAGAGTAGAAGCTTGGCCTGGTTTTGATGTGAAAGAAAATCACTCTTTTTCATTGGAATGCAACTCCCATTATCACCCAGAAGTGACCCTGTACACCTGGACCAAAATGACAAATGGTAACCGTGAATTAGTCGCCAAATCCACAAAGAAAACCTATTCAGTCAAATCTGCCAGCCTGTCTCACAGTGGACTGTACAGCTGCACGGCCCAAAACCAGGTTGGAATCGGTAAATCTAAGCAAGTGAACATTAGAGTCAAATGTGAGTATAATAATGTCATTATTATTGTTTAAATCCAACATGATTGTAGAATAATCGGGGAAAAAAACTTTCTTTATATTGTGTACACTGAAGAAGATATGTGCATCAGCTTGTTACTGATTTGATTGTTTTCCTGTGGTGCAAAGATGATTGTGATCCGGTTCTGGAATTTTTTCATCCTGTTTAGATGCTCCAAAACACACAACCATCATCACAGGAGAAGAGCAATGGGAGACTGACGGGAAGGGCTCTGTGATGCTGAGCTGCAGCAGTCACAGCTATCCTCCACCTTCCTACGTCTGGTACAATAAAACAGCGGACGATAAAGTCTCAGAGGAGCAGAACCTCACGGTGTACTCGCACCAGGCGGGAGAGTATTACTGTCTGGCGAGGAATGAGCTTGGTGGAAAACCTTCAGACCGAGTTAGGCTGTTTGATGGCGAGTGTTTTCTGACGGGGACCTTGTGGGGGATGCCATGATGTCAGAAACAGATCTGTCTTTATACATATCTTCTGTCTCTGCTATCAACAGGAAGTCTGAAGATACTCATCTACATCCTGGTGGTTTTTCTTTTAATCGTCGTACTTCTAATCTTTGTTTACAGGTAAAGTATGAATGAGAACTACTTCGAAAGGGAAAAAAACAATTTACTTATGGGTTTGTTTTTTCAGAAAAAGGATAAAGAGATCTATTCAACCAGGAGCTGTGAATGAATCGCCCTGTGTTGCTTGTCTGGTGAGGAGTCCTGTGTGCAAACTTTTTAATGGGTGTTATGAATATCCGCGGGGAAAAAAATAAAAAATTACGCGTCTTTGTGCGTTTACTTGTGTACACTTATTCAGCCTTGTTGGAGTGGAGCCAGGGGAGGATGTACAATGAATGAGACTGGTTTGGCAGAGCCTTGCAGGAGCAGAGATGACCTCCTGCTAAACCAGCCCCGCCGTCCATCCCAGCCCCGTCCAGACGCCACGTAAGTCAACAGACACACACAGTCCCCACCTAACACAATACACACTCTGTATGACCGAGAGCTGGATGCTGATGCACGTTCATTTTACAAATACTCTATTTAAGTGGAATGGAAAATTGATCATCTGCCAAGTCACAATATTAACAAAATTATGATTATCATTATGTTCCACAGGTCTGTATCCAATATTCACTCTATTTACTCCATTGTGACTCCAGTACATAGAAAAGAGGTGAGTCCAGCTGTTCAAAGCGAGCCATAACATTCTAATAATTAGTCTGGTGTTCTGATTTACACTATCATGGTTTTAAACTGCTGTCGTCAAAAAAACCCTGTAACAACTTCTGAGGTCAGGACTTTGAAACTTATGATTTATAACATGTTGACAGAAAGTTGTTTCTTGAATCTTAATACGGGTGAAATAATCCAATTAAAAAATTATACTGATTTTTTATTCATGCTGTAACATTTGAACTATTTAAACTTTATTTTACTGAAGCAAAGGCAGTCACAAACAACTCCAGAAGCAAAATTGTTTCAACTTTGAGACGTATTTTTACTGGTCACATATGTTCACTCATAAGTGCAATTAAATTGTTACTCTCTGAATCAACTTTTTAAATTCCATCCATCCATCCATCCATCCATCCATCCATCCATCCATCCATCC